TAATTAATAGTCTACCCGTAATTAAGATTAGCTTCAATGATAATTAATTAATCTCATTTTAATAAACTAAAATCTAAATATATATATTTTTGGATGTTACAAACAACATAATATATAGCAAATATATAGAAAATTAAAATTAGACGTGATAATAAAATAAAAAGAATAATTGGGTAAGGAGAAGTTAGTAGAAAGTATTATCATATACTATAAGAATATATTAATTTACAAAGGGCTCATACCTCAAATCTTCAAAGCAAACTCGTGCTGATAACGTGTTATAAAAATAAGAGAGTTAGAGAGTAGAAAGAAGATAGCAAGACAAGAATTGGGAGAGAAAACAAGAAGTATTTCTCATATACATATATGGGTACAAATACCTTGTATGTGGCTTCTATTTATAGGCTCCCAACCATAAAAGTCTAATCCAAGAATTACAAAGAAATAAATAAAGGAATAATGACAATAAACATGAAAAACTCCTCTAAAGTCATTCATTAGGGGGTTATGGGTTTAAAACATTCAAAGATCAAGAATCCTATGAAGAATCCTAAGAGTTGGGGGTTATGAACATCCACATATATACAATATTTATAACAATTTTGTTCTAATAAAAAATTAACTGTTTTAACCTTATAAAATTTAAATGAATTTTCTCACTTTTTTATTTTGTTAAGATATAACTATATATATAATGCAATTCACCAATTTTGATTTGCAAGACACAGTTACATACTTATAGGATATCCAGATAAAAAGTCGTGAGTGATAGATTTCAATCAGAGAAAAGTCCTTGAAGGCGAAGGAAAATACCCACAGCCTCTTAAAATTAGAAGAAGAGAAAAAAAAAAAAAAAGGTTTACAAATGCTCTCTAATTTTGGAGACAATTATCTTAACAACCTCTTACTAGATATTCAAAAAAACTCTCTTATATAAAAATGCTTACAACTGATTAGGGGTTAAAAAATCAAAATGGTATATAAGATATTAAAATATTATTTCTCATCTCCTTTTTAAAAAACTCCACTTTTGAAGGGGAGGCTAGAAAGGAAGAGGAGGGGAGAAGAGTACCTTATCTCTTTAAAAAATATCTTAACTAAACGAGGGGAGAGGAGCTCCAAAAACCCTTTACCAAACATAGTGTAAGTAAAATTAGTTGAAATTTTTTAACTCCTTGAACTTATTAAAATTTTTCATTCTCCCCCTTTCATTTCTTTCATACCAAAGAGAATTTTAGTGTAGGTCTTGTGAGTTTGAAAAATAGTACAATTAATTAGATCTTAGTAATATTCAATTTTGATTTTAAACACATCAACCTATAAAATTATCTATATTATATTTTCAAAGTGTCAAATTATTCCCAAATTCATGCCCTCCAAACCCCTCGGAAAAAAGGCGCACAAATCATAAAACGACTGGTTGTGTGATTGTGAGAGTTGACTCTGCATTTTTCGTATCCACTCATTTAATTTCAATTATTTGGGTTTGGAATATAATGAAATTAAATTTCAGTTTATCATACGAGATCTCTCTCTGTTTTTTTTTTTTTTTTACCAGCGAGGACACAGATCTCGAAACCATCTTTGGTGGGAAGAACCAAAATTTCAAAAAAAAAAAAAAACCTAAAAACCATCTTTGAGGCGCAATCAATGTCTTGTAAAAAGGACATACCAATTAGGCCATCCCAATCATTGTTTCATTTTGATCTTCTGGTCTGTGAAGAATTGAAGATCCTTGCAGGATACATGGGGCTTTTTTTTTTTTAACCTGATATATGTGGGGGTTTACAAACAAAAAAATAGAAATATGTAGGAGAAAAGTAATAATCTTAATGAAGAAAAATTATATTTTCGTATTATTCACCCACAATTTAAACCCTTTTTTTTACCTTGTGTATAAGATATTATGTCCAGGTTTGATGTATCGATTGCAAAAATTAAAAAAGTTAGTTAAGTTAATTATTTATAATAAATAAATATTGTTATTTTTAAAATATTTTTATTAATCATATGTGTTTATATTATTGATAGTAATTTCTTAAGATATACAACTATTATAGGAATTACTTGACAGGAAAATAGAAAAATATTACAGATAAAGTAAATTAGGTTATTATATTTATGATAAAATTAAATATCAAACTAGTTTTTACATCAAAGATTGAATATGCATTATCTTATCTTACTGTGATAAGATCGATGCCCTTAAACACTCCATGTACAATTTAATGAGATGTATCACATTTAAATTATTTATAACTTCTAAACTACAAAAAAGAAGAAGAAGATATCACTCTTTGAAATTCTCAACTCTTCAGCTCCTGCCCGCTCTTTTGAAATTCTTTCTGTACTCTAAATGAAAATAAAAAATTAAATCAAAAAGATTATGATCTAGATAAGAAAATGAAAGATGAACTTTTTTAAAATGAAAATTAAATTAAATAAAAACATGTTTATTTAAGCAGAATTAATTTTTAAATAAAAATATGTCGCAAATGTTTTTTCTTTTGTTTTTAAAAAATGTAGTCTGTTCAGTTTGATTAAACTTCCTTTTGCTCCTTATATTTTAAGGATTTTTTATTTTAGTTATTTTTTTATATAGTGATCTTATTCAAAAAATTGTCACGCACTAAATATGAGTATTTCTCTTAGCAAAGGTTTAGACTTTGATTCACCACATTATGAGGATTCTTTCATTAGACTCAATTAGTTTATACTTTGTTCTTGTTGTTTTTAATCTATATACTTTATCTTGTTTAAAACATTAATAACTTGAACCTAAGCATCACAACATAGCGACCAAAATCAAAACATATTAAAAGTATAAGGATAAAAACAAAAACTTGTTAAAAGTATACTCATTAAAGTTAGACAAATGGTTAATTTTAATTATAAATATAAGACATCAATTCAATTTATTTTTTAAATCCATAATTTTTTTAAAGTATTCCTATTGATTGTATATAATAAGAGAGTTCCTTTTAAAAAATAGTCACAATCCACATGATTTGACTAGAATAACTAATACACTTTTATTATAAATAACTAACTTAATTAATTTTTTTTAAAGAAAAATCGGAGCATTTGTTATCTTGGGATCAAGTAATGGAAGGAAAGAAGAATGGAGGACTAAGGATACGAAACTTGAAGACCTAGAATGAAGCTTTCATCGTGAAATTGTGCTAGAAAATGGTACAAGACAAAGAGGCCCTATAGTTCAAGGTTTTAACATCTAAACATGACTGCGGGGATCGTCAAATACCTCGAGTTGAGAAGAGGACGAATTCATGCAGAACCTGGCAAGCGATTTTGAGACAATTTTGGAAAAGGTTTGGGGAAGAAGATCAGGGATAGGAAGTCTACTTTTTTCTGGTTTGATAATTGGTCTAAGATGAACATATCTCTCATTCAGCTAATACCGGGAAGAAAGGGATTTGTAGACAAAACGATAAGGCGTCTGACTATGTAAACCATAGAGGAGACTGACATAGAGACAAACTTGGCATCTTGTTTTCTTATGATATCATTGAGCGAATTACCCACACACACTCCCTTGTGAGAATAGGAGAGAGGATAAAATATTTTGGAAACCATCTACTGATGGTATGTTTATTGGGAAATCTGCATGCAACTTTTTTTTTTGCAAGTACTCGTGGATGAGCAGATAATGTCTGGAAACTTATTTGGAGATGGCAAGTGCCGGAGAAGATAAAAACTTTCATGTGGCTCCTATCACATGGAAGGTTACACAATGTAGAGTTTCGACAATGAAGAGGACTTCTTGAGCTTGCTTCTTGTCCGTTTGGCTGTAATGGCACTGAGGGCACTATGCACATGGTCCGAGATTGTTCAAACGCAGTGAACAGATGGAAATCAGTCCTCTCCCAAAAATGTGGCAGACTCTTTTCTTACTAAGCTGGATCAAATGGAACCTCACACATGAAGCAGGGAAGGATTACACTAAGAAAATCCAATGGAATAAACTCTTTGGTTATATATGTTGGGACATATGGGTTATTAGATGTGAGAATCTATTCAACCCAACATGTAGAACCTCCAATGCTAATGCAAATGATAGCCTATTCTGAGCAAGTGCCGATAAGGAATGAATGGACAGGTGCGAGTTCTAAACTAATGGAGGATACAGATCCGTGAGAAATGTGGATATGCAAGCAAATTGCATTGCTTTGGAAGCCGATGGATCTGTTTTTCAAAGTGGGCAAGTAGATGTGGAGGAGTACTAAAAACAGCACAAGGAGAATGGATATGTGGATACAAATGTAAACTCATTGCTATACCTTTTTCAATAGCTGAATTTTTTGGCATTTTGTATGGTCTTAGTCTCTGTTACTCTTGAGAATTTTAGAAAAATTGTAGTTGTGTCTGATGCCATTAACCCCATTTTGATGGGTTGTGGGGATGAGCATCCTTTCAAAGACTTGATTAAGGAGTATAGGCTCCTTGTGTATAGAAACTGGCAGGTTAGATTTTTGCATAGGTTTAGGGAGGACTTAAGCATTGCTACCTTTTTAACAAAATCCTCTCATGATGTGTGGAAATTTTTGCATCCTTAATCATCCTCCATCGAGTTGTTCTTAGGTGGATTTTGATGAAGGATTCTAACTCCTTATAAGGTTGTTAGGGTTTATCTCCTAAATGAATTTCAGCTTCTATTCAAAAACAAAAAAGAAAAGAAAAGATGCAGTGATTACATCAAAGGGGAGGCCAAAAAAAGGGAATTACATTGAAGGGTATTTGAGTAATTTTGATCTTATTCATTCCAATCCATTTGCTGTTTCCTTTCTTTTTCCAAATTTCTATTTCCTTTTTCAATTCATTACAATTTCTTTTTCCCATTTTTTCTGGGTACTGAAAAAAGTTACACCAAACCAAACACTGCTCTCCTTTTTTTATAAAAAAATAATAAATAATAAAATCTAACGCGCGGTGTCTTCCTCCTTGTCGCCCTGATGCAGTCTGATTCACGAGCTGCCAGTCTGCCTGTCAAACGCAACTCAGAAATCCTTTCAGTTTTCTTGCTACAGAGTGAGCTGAATTTTCCTTTGTCATTTACTTTACTCACTTCTTTTTCGTACCTATTGGATCAGAACCTTCTCCTTTTTCACTGAATCGCGCGTTCATTTTCAGCATGCTTGTGAAATTTTTATTTTGGGAGAATTAAATTACTCAGCCATTGCAATTTTAAAGCATTGAATGGAATACTTCTGATTTGATTCAATTCGGGACTTACACGATGCACGCCAAGTCTGATTCCGATGTCACTAGTTTCGATCCATCATCTCCGAGATCTCCCAAGCGACCTGCTTACTATGTGCAAAGTCCCTCTAGGGATTCTCACGATGGCGACAAATCTTGCTCAATGCAAGCCACTCCTGCTTACAACAGTCCCACGGAGTCCCCTTTGCACCAGTCTTACGGTCACCATTCTCGGGCCTCCTCTGCCAGTAGGATTTCGGGTAATTACAATTCTGCCTGGGGAAAGAAATCGAATCGGAAAGGGGACGACAAAGGGTGGCCTGAATGTAAAGTGATCGAAGAAGAAGGGGACTATGATGGTTATTATCGTGACAATGTTGGATCGTTGAGAAGGACTCAAGCTTCACTTGCTGTGCTAGGGTTTGTTGTGATCTTCACTGTGTTCTGTCTCATCATCTGGGGAGTTAGTAGGTCTTACAAACCTCAGTTCGGTGTCAAGGTACGGGGATTGTTGACGCTTGCTTTGCCAACTCTTATCCAATTGGGATATTATAATTTTTTGATTATGTGAATCAGAGGGGCAATTCCTTTCATTAGTATTATATGGCCACTGCTTATGTTGTTCAGGAGAATATTCTTTTGTTGATAGTTGAGGGGGCCTCATGACTCCCTTATACTCAGCGCTGGCATATAAAAAAAGGGAAATTTGATTCATGCCCTCATGTGGAGTGAGAAAGGATCACTCTATAAATTTAATTGATAATCTCCGCTTGCATGTGAGTGATAATTTCATGTGCTGAGAGTGAACATGTGAATAGTGAGAAACTTGGATAATTTTATATTTATTTTTTTATTATTATTCTGTCTGAGGTTGCAAAGATGAGGAGTGAGGGATTTTGTTTGTGTACTGGGACAATATATAAGCTTTGATAGAGTTCAAAACAAGCACAGTACTAGGAATGGCATTTGCAGACAAACTTTAAAAATGTCTACTGTAGTTCCAATTCCTATCTATCACATCTCAATGTTTGAATTCTTTTTCTCTGTTCTTGTACATAAAGAAATACTTGGTTAATCTAATGGCAATGATTCACTTCTTCCAGAGTTTGACAGTACATAGCTTCTACTTGGGAGAAGGATCAGATCCCACAGGAGTTCCAACCAAGATGCTGACAACGAACTGCTCTGTGAAAATGACCGTATATAACCCGGCAACATTTTTTGGGATTCACGTAAGCTCCAAGTCAGTGAATCTCATGTATTCTGAGATTGCAGTTGCAACTGGTGATGTAAGATTTTTAAAAGTGACCATAACTTTTTTAATTTATAAAGATTGGCTCCACAGCAAATGCAAACCGCAGAGAACTTTTGCATATTGATTGCCACCATTCTTTAATTCAATGTTCATATACATTTTGCTGCAGTTGAAGAATTCCTATCAGGGAAGAAAAACCCACAAGACTGTGCATGTCAGTCTCCAGAGAAGCAGGGTTCCTTTATATGGTGCTGGAGCAAGCTTGGCTGGTTCAATTGACAATGGAGTCCCAGTGAAGCTAGATTTCGAAGTTAAGTCACGAGGTAATGTTGTGGGGAAGTTGGTGAGGTCAAAACATCGAAAGCATGTTACTTGTTTGTTTACTATCACTCCCCACAGCAACAAACCCATAAAACCTAAAGAGAATGCTTGTACATACAACTGATGATGATGGTCTTGCTGCAACCTGGTAGTGCTAGGCAGGAAATGAGAAAAAATTTTACTAGGAAATGGTTTAGACTTGTGAAGCTTTAGTAGCATCGCTTTTCAACGGGGAATGGGATGGATAAAATCTTGAAGGTGATAATTAGTCCTTCACTCACCCATCTACTCCACCCTGGAATAAGCTGTCCTTCCTGTTATTTGAGCTGCTTTTTGCCAACCTGTTATCTAAGCTGCTATTTCTAGCGACATTGCTGCGTTGTGTAATTAATTATAGAATCAATAATGTTTCTAGACGTGTTTTTGTTCTTGTTTGCTTCATTTGTGTGTGTGTTTTGGATATGGCCAATGGATATACTCCTCCGGTCCTTATTATAAGATCCCATTTGACTTTTTATTTGGTCCTAATTATAAGACCCCAATCCATTTTGTCTCTTATATTTATGCATTTTTTTCTAAGATAATCCTTCTAATAATAATAGTTTTAGCCAATATACTTAATTAGCAATTTTAGGAATGACAACACTTATTTATTATAAATAACCAACTTAACTTACTTCCTTAATCTCCTCAAATAAGTCAATTGGGTCTTATAATTAGGACCGGAGGAGTATAAATATTATATCAGTTAATATTTTTTTGTTTGACATTCTTTTTCATCATGTTCCCAGCTCTGTCATCATACATTAGAGTGAGACCCTTGATCTGCTTCCTCTATTGTCCCACTCTAGTTAAGCCACTTGTTCTCATATATCAAAAACATATATTGAATTGATAAATAAATTTTAATTTATATTTATAAAAGTTTTTCCTCTCTATATTTAGTTATTTATCTTTTCTTTTCCTTCCTCTCTGTCGCAAGAAAATTAAATAAAGATAAAATTAAAAAATAAACATTCAATTTCCTACAAGTAACTTATATTTAGAATAAAAAAAAACTTTCCACAAGTTACTTATAACAAGACCAAAGTGACATGATAGAAGGATTCTACCGTGTTTTTTCCCGCTCGAAAGCTGATGGAGCAAAGGATGCTTGTGTTTCCATTTGAAAGTTGTTTTAAGAACCTCAGGATGAGGGACTTTAAATAAAAGGGAAAATGACAGGAATTTCAATATGATAAATAAATAATTTTGACAGATTTTAAATAGTAAAAATTATTACAAGTATAGTCAAGATCATTACAAAAGTAATTGAACAAAACTTATTTGTTTTTTTTTAAATTCAATAATTATTTTTCTGTCATTTTTTCTAAGTAGAACGCTCTTCCATGCATGGTTAAAGCATGCCCCAAAGTCAAGAGTCCAAGTTTTTTAACGCAATTACCCCAAATACATCCCTCGGTGTTTACAAAATTATTGTCAAATCTGCAACCTACTGTGTTCTGCTATCTTGAAAAACTCAGGAGTTCCGCTTTACTTTGTAGATAGAGCTGAAAAATGCTCTTGGGGGTCAACAGGTATTGAACATGATCATTCAAGAGAAGGAATGCGCAATCATTGCTAGTATAAAACGCCTGTACCTAAAAATCTTCGTCTATCAAAATATTACATGAACCAAGAAGGGCCATAAAAAAATTGGCCCCAGTACAAGTCCTATTCCTTTTACAGAATCAACATTGGCTAATTTATCTTACAATTCACAAAGAAACATCCCTTAAATTGCTGGGATGGGTGAAGAAGTTTCATTGAGAAGCTAGGCTAGTCCCCTGGTCACTTTCAACAGGACAACTTACCTCAGGAACTGTGCCGCCAATCCTATTTGGTGGCCAATACCGAAAAATTGATCTGCCTATGATGTTCTTGGCTGGCAGGGGGCCCCTGAATAAATCATATTCATGACATGACAACATCAATATAATGGGACAAAAACCAGATGATTAAAATGATGAATCTGGAAAATTATGAATCTAAAACGCCTACCACACATGCGAATCATAGCTGTTGTTACGGTTGTCTCCCATCACAAAAACGTAATTCTGTGGCACACGCTGCGAAACAAGACATTATTAATACTAAATGATACTTGCTCTGAATCTAATATCCTATCCCTTTAGTATAATCTTCTCAAGAAGGATTGAACTAAATATTCCCTCCCCTCCACCTCAACCCCATGAAACTACAAATCCCCACTTCTTTCTTTGATGCCATGCCTCAAATTCAAGTAGCCCAAAAGAACTGCAAGAAGGCGAAACCACATGGCCTAAAATGGCTTGCCTATTGTAGCCAACATTATATAGTGTAATCTAGACCCCTCATATCTAATACGGCCACGTGAGAATTAAGCCTTGCATTTATGTACTTACTGTAGGCGTCATGTCATAAGAGGGTGGTTCGAGGATGAACTTTTCGTTCCTTTCAACCCCATTAACTATAAGACGCCCTTTATGAACCTGAAACAACAAAGTTGCTCTTAGTTGAAAAGAGCAAAGAACTAAATCAAACGGAGAAAACTGAGTAACAAGAGAGATGTGAAAGCCTTAGTGACCGGGGAAGGGGGGCAGCCCTTAACCCAATCATCCAATTCACTACAATAGATAGGCATGGCTCCGTAGTCAAAGCAACTTTGGAGCCTTAGTGACTGAATTTGTAAAACAACAATACGCCAATTCTACATATGTACCCATACCAATCAGGTTCATTCACAGTTTTGAAATAAAATCAAGATTTGCAATTCCTTATGTTGTTACTTGTGACATTTTCATGTGCGTCTGTGAAAGTTATCTATAGTGCAAGACAAACAACAAAAGCACAAATAATAATGTAATTGCAGGGACCATAATATCTTTTCTTTCTTTTCCCTAGAAGAAATTAAATATTGGATTGAGACTACTGTACAGATTATGAAATATCAGTATTTAGAAGGGATTTTCCCGGATTTTGGACAAACTCTAATTTTGTTTTGTGGAATAAAAAGTGTTTCTGGAAGTGCAATACGAATTTTGAGTTTCTTCTAGTCTGTCCTGATTTGGTTTATTTGCCATTGCTATCAGGAAATGGAACAGTTCATAGTTACAACTCTGACCCACTTTAATAAGGATAAAAGGAAAAGAACATATGAAATGAGAGTATCAAAATCTTACCTCCACAATATCGCCTTCTTTTGCAACCACTCGTTTTATAAAGACATCATCATCGGTGTACCCAACTTCCTGAAGGATTGGTGGGCTTTTAAATATTACTATGTCATTTGTGCAAGGCTTTCTAAAATAGTATGAAACCTGAAACAATGAAGATGCATCTTTTAAATGACAATGTATCATAATGGGAAGGCTCGTTGGATGGTGATATCAAAGTCAAAATTCCAAAGCAATGCAATGCTTCTGGAATGCAATGCAAGCTTCTGGAGGTGAAACTATAAACACATTTAACTACAAAAGATAGACCTGGAAATTGAAATCTTCACATATGCCTAGCACTCAAAATGGCAGTCTCAGATACACACTTACAACACAGAATACTTTAACACTCAAAGAAAACGGTTCTACTTCAAGTATGTACTCAAATTTCACATTACGAAAGAAAGAACACCAACCTCCTCACCCACATGAAAATTAAAGAAAGCTTAAAAAATAAATACAGAAGAAGAAAAAGAAGAAGCGTTGAACTACCTTCTCTGCAACAATTCGATCTCCAACATCAAACGTAGGATACATTGACAAGGAAGGAATGTACCTAGGCTCGGCCACAAACGACCGAAACGCAAGCGAGATTGCCAGTGCCGCAAAGACGGTCTTTGCATCATCAGAAGTGAAATTCAACCAATCCGGCAAAGGTCCCGAAGACCCATCTTTTTTCTGCACCTCTCCATCCTCACCACCATCACCGCCGTTACCACCACTCCCTCCGCCATCATCGCCGCCACTGGAGTCCAAGACAACCTTAGTTTCTTCGCCGGAATCCTTAAAAGCATTGCAATTAATCTTCCGGCCATGGAGTCCACAGCTTTGGACTCTGTAGCAAAAACCGTTGGTTAGGGCTTTGGAACTTGGGTGGAAATTAAAGGGGCTAACGGGTTTGAAGAGGTGAATGTGGTCCGAGGTAAGGTTTTGCAGCGACGGCAATGAAGGAAGGATATTGAGGGATCGCATTTCTGCCTAGCCCTTCAAAGATTGATATGTCTCTGCAATATCTTCAGCTTCCTTCCGTCTTGATAACGTGATTGGGGTTTCAACTGTGGCCCCCTCTTGAGCTCAAACCCAAAATCCACAGAAATATGAAAATTTGTCCGTACTCCAATCAGTAAAGATTGGATTTTTTTTTTCTCCAAATAATAAGGATATCCATATAGAAGAAAGAAATAAATTAGAAAATCTGGTTCCTGTTATACAGATTGATACGCTCCTGAAGAGAGTTGTCAATGATGGTCAAGTAATTTGTTAAGTAAGAATGAGATTTGCCATAAAATTTTATTCATCGTGAAACGTCAGTTGATTGTTTTTCCCAGCAAGTAAGACTATAAAATCCGTTTGAATTAGTAATTAGAAAAGTAATCTATTGTGAAAAGGTTAAATTCAGTAATATGAATATTACTGTATTCAGATTAGATTTTATAAAAATTAGTCTGTAAAAATAATTTTTTTGAATTATGATTAAATAAGTAATTTTAGTTTATAAAATTAACAAAATAAATAAGAATTTCATTAAATATGAAAAGTAAAAAAAGTTATCAATTTACATAATATAATAATTTTAAATTATTTATAAGCTTATGTTAATATGATATTTTTTTATTATTTATTATAAGGGCATATTTGAAAATAAAAATAGATTTCTATAGGCATACTTGAAAATAAAAATATATGTTTAACTTATTTATTACTTTCAACTAATTTTAAATGATTTTTTATTATTTACAAATTAGTTATTTGAGGCTTATAATAAAAACTAGATGATATACTAAATTTCTTAACTTTTTCTCTCTTTATGTTTCAAAAGTCATAAGTAGCTAATTTTTACTTATAATTTATTGTAGCTTTTTATGCAAAAGTTAGATTACTCTATGACCAACTCGAATACCACAAAATTTTTAAATGTCTTTCTGTATGAAAAAAAGTAACTTATTGCCCTCCAAAACTAAGTCAAACAGGCTCTAAGGTTGTTTAGTTTCTTGTTTTGAAAACAACTTTTTATTTAAAAATAAAAAATTTTGTTTGATCATTTGTTTTTAGTTAATTGTTTTAAAAAAAACAAAAAAACAATAATCTGTTTTTAAAAACTAAAGAATAAAACAACTTTATTTTTTTGTGGTTTTTTATTTTTTGTTTTGTAAAATTAAAGAAGTCTTTTTCTCTTCTCACCTATCATCCGTCACTTGTTATTATCAGTGACAACTACCACCTGCCAAGTATGATTTTATATGTTTTTTTAAAATTATTATCCAAAAAAAGTTTTTTTTGTTTTTAAAAACTTATTCTAAAAAATTGTTTTGGGAATAAAAAATACAGGACCAAAAAAAAAACAACAGGCCCTGTTTCCTCTCTCACCCTTCCCCCCGGGCGGCGGGGCGCTTTGGTGAACGAGACTATTTCTCTTACGTGCGAGTAATATAAACTTCTCAAAATCAAAGGTGAATCCTGCAAACACTCACACAATTCACAGATATATATATATATATATATCTACACAGATACATATATCTCTCTCTACCTGTACAATATTTCATGATTGGCGTCACGAGTTTTAACATCTGCATCACCATATTTTTTGTCATGATATTTTTACAAGATTAGAAAAAAATTTAAAAAAATTATTCTGAGTATTGTTTATTTTTGCTGGAATCAATTCTCTTAATATGACTTCTATCCACAAAACTTGAACATCAACTTTGCCTTAAGAAGGATTGAGTTCTTAATCATAAAAAATTATGAATGAATAATGAATGAGGCCAGCAATGTGAATGAATAATATCGGGTAGGTGTGTGAGGAAAACCCAAGTTGTATTGGGCATAGGGCGTAATGAACCTATCAGGCCCAAAGAACTACATGGTCAGAAAAATGTACATCCAGGTGAACCTTTAAAGTTTAAAATTCAAAGGGATGCAACGAACAAACAATGAAAGGGACTTGTACCAAAAACAAAATTAAAGGGATTCCCAGGCCCAGAAGTATGACTGCTCAATGCTCATGCTTATTGAATGCTTGAAAACTTTAAAGAGAAGGAAAACAATGTGGGTTAGTCCGTAATAAATCAAGGTTTGAATTCTTATTAAAAGAGGTGCTTACATTTAATGTTTCACGGTACCTCAAACAAGATTACCTCTAATAAGATTATTCCTATGCTTATCAAAAAAAAAAAAGAAAGAAAAGAGACGAAGGAAAAGACAATTTTTTTGCTTTTTGGTCCTTCATTTTCTTTTTATACAAAACCCATAATAAGAGAGGGGACAAAATAGACTAGCCCCCTTATATTTCAATGCGTAGATGTCTACAATCAAGTTGGGGAATACCAAATATGAATAGATATCACCAATTACCTTGTATTCTAGTAGCATAAGAAAACTCTTACTAGTGGGAGGTCACAAGTACAATTTCGTTTGAAACTTCACGCCGTTTCTTCTGATTTAAAAAAAAATAAAATAATGAATAGATATGCCATATGATGGGCATACTGAGCCAGTCAGTTTGTGCAGGACTACGATTCTCAATGAAGAATTTATGTGCCAAGCAACAATACATATGTGCGTGTGCGCGTGTATATTATTACTCTTTATGAGCATTTAAAATTCATTTGAAGTTGAGCTACATTGGGCGTGAGACCACGCCATGGCCATGTGCATGCCAACCTACTTTACAGGTCATATACGCTTTGAAGCATTTGGTAATTTAGCGTTCGCCAACACCAACTTGAGGTCCACTACATAGTTCTTTATGCAGAATGGCATGTGCCTGTAATATGGTGGCACATTTGTCCTGCGTCAAACGTCCCTTTTCAATGATTGATCCTATGCATGTGACTCAATATCTAGCATCTCTGTCCCAATGAAAAAGGCATATCTTCCTCTTCATTTACTAGATTTTAGCATCCAAGGGGAGGACAAAGTCGCATGCAGGGATGAACCTGAGATCGAACATTCATGCACCTGGAGCATTTGCAAGATCTAAATTCTGCTACAAAGTTACTTTCAAATTCTGTCACCTTTGAGGACTGAAGATGCAACTATTTATCTGGCCAGAGGTGAAATCACTATTTTTCTTATAAACCAAAAGGGAAATAATGTTACAGTTTGGTTGAGAATGACAAGATCTAGGAAACTTACTCCATATGACAAGTTTGAAAATCAACAGGCTAACAACACCAACCCTACCCACAATTCCAACAACCAGCAAAATGACAGATAAACAGCAGCCAAAAAAACAAATGAAAGAATGGAACTGGTGTTTTTATTTGTTTTATAATTAAAACCCTTATAGATACAATTTTTAAAAAAGAAGTTAACTCACTCAGAATGTCAGTCAAAGCAACCAAAGTGAGACTGACAGGTGTAAAAAAGGAAGATATAGATTTATACAAGTTAGATGGAACAAGATGCTATGAACTTCCACTGAAACCTTGGCTGTTCTTCATCTTTCTCAGCTCCATTTCCCTTGTGGTCTGGCGACTCTGGCCTTCACTGCTTGAACCAGAAGGATACAAGCCATACTCACTCGTAGGTGGTCCGCTGTACTCGCCACTGGCACCATACTCATTGGTTCCTCCACCAAATGCCATTTTTCTGAACTTTTTCATGTCCTCCTTGTATTGAACTGTGTCATAATCTGAACTTCCATGAGAACTGTAGACAGAGCTATGGCCGGGCTTAATTCCTTCATTAAGGTCCGCTAGAGATACATCTCCTTCCAGAGCACGAACAACCTGTGATGCATACATGTTAGATACACAAGAAACATTCTTAAATGTAACAGACAGTAATATGAACAAACAAACGGAAGAAAAACTGGATCATGAAAAATAATTAGAACAAAAAAAACCAAAGAAAAACTGGGTCAAATTACCTGGCTCATCCTTGGCCTGCGCTTTGCTGAATGTCGTATGCAAGCTGCAGCACATGCCACCATACGAGCCATCTCATTGGGGTCATATTCATGTTGGAGTCTTGGATCAACCACGGAGTCAAAATTTTCATCTTCTAAAGCACGAGCGAGCACAGGCCTTGCCTGCGGTGACAAAGATGCAGTTAAAGGCTACTCTGTGGCCCTCAGAAAAAGAAAAAAAGGGGAAAACCCTTTCTTGTTGCCTAAGAGCTTATGATTCCAATTTCAAATTTAGGCCCAGAAAATGGAAGGTGTACTCAAGCTTACCCAGTCTACCAAACCATCCTCCATAAATGTATGCCCTGAATCAACTGGTCGGCGTCCAGTAATTAATTCCAGAAGCATGACTCCAAAGGAGAAAACATCTGATTTGTCAGTGAGTTTCCCACTAGAAGCATATTCTGGAGCCAGGTAACTGCAAGCAGCAATTAATGTGAGCTTGAAACAATGCCAAATAACAGGTACAAGCAAGCAGCATTTTCACCTCTTTTTCACTTTTGAGGTTCTTGGAAAGATAGAAAGTAGTCTTACCCAAATGTCCCCATCACTCGAGTGGAAACATGAGTATTAATATCAGACGTAAACTTTGCAAGTCCAAAATCTGCCACCTGCCAGTATAAAACAACATGCCACAGTAGAACACATGAGCACCAGTAATAAAATTTAGGATGCTAACAAGAAAAATGACAAGCATACCTTTGCTTCAAACTTAAAATCCAGAAGAATGTTAGCAGCTTTGATATCACGGTGGATGATCTTAGGATGACCTGTACACACAGGTATTGCAATTAACATTAAAATTGAGATGATTCAGTTTCTGCTGATGAACTTAAAGTCAGGTGCATGGCACATACAGTCCTCATGAAGATACGCCAATCCTTTTGCTGATCCTAAAGCAATTTTCAGTCTTGTGGGCCAGTCCATGGTAGGCCTCCCTTTTCCTGCAGTTCAAACACCCATCAGATGCCTCCTGCTGCTAAAGTCACTATGCCACAAAACAGAAGTGCTTGCAGCTCAATTTCAACTTAGCAAGGGTTTTTCCACAGGAAGAAATGAGGTTTACCGTGCAAGTGAAACTCCAATGTATTGTTGGGAACAAATTCATAAACAAGCAACCTCTGTGTCCCAGTAATGCAGTATCC